ACCCCGGATGAAGGGAGTCAGGGAGGGCTTCCTGGAGGAGGTGACAGCTGACCCAAGAGCTAAAGGATGACAAAGGGTTAAATGGGGGCAGGGGAACGGGGTGAGAATGTGGAGGGGCACAAGAGGGGTAAACCTGGAAGGAGACAAGGGAGCACCACGCCGGGAAGTGACAACTTCCCTGGAGACTGGGCATCATCCCTGGTGAGGTTGTGGGTAGTTTAGCAAGGAGAAGAGCCAGCCTCTGCACTGGGCACTGCCAAGTGGGCGGAGGAGAGGAGAGAAGCCCCTGCCCTTGTGGAGCTCATAACCTAGTGCCGGGGACAAAACGGGGGTGTCCAGGAAGAGCTCCTTCTGCTGGGGCCGGGAGGAGGCCAGGACATGCTCTGGTCCAGCTCTGCCCCGTGCAGGCCGCCTTGCTCTCCATGCAAAACGGAGACCACGGTAGCCAGCTTCTCTCGCAGGTCATGGTGACTTGGGTGGGATCCGGACCCTGCTGGGCTCCAAGGAGTTGGAAATGTGGAGGGGTCTGAGGATGTGGACTGTGAGCCTCATCCGGAAGCTTGGCTCCTCCTGGAGCTCCTCCAGGGGCGTTCAATGTTTAGATAACTGCCCGGCCTCAGCTCCCCTGTGTGAGAAGTGGGAGCCCTGTGAGAGCGTCCCCAAGTCCGGCCTCCACCCAGGGTTCTGCCGGCCCCCGCGCCATCCTGCTGAAAGGTGGCTTTCTCCTCTGGTGGCGTTGGTGGCACGTGTTGCTCTTGGTGTGTTTTTATTCATACCATGTGTATTGTCGTCTGCCCCATGAGGACAGGGACTTGTCCACTCACCACCAGTCCCCAGTGCCCTCCCAGCCCAGGCCCCACCGGGAGTGTCGCTGGCTCACTGACTGGCTTTGTTCTCGCTCGCAGCCGGGCTGTCCTCCAGGAGGTTCTCGATGCAGACCTGAGCAACGCGGCCTTCCCCTTCTCCACCCACAAGCTGGTGAGAGCCGCCGGGCACCTGGTAGGTACCAGCAGCTGCCGTCCATCCTCTGGGCTGCGGTGGCAGCAGCAGGCTGCAAGGGAACCAAGCTGGGGCTGGGACAGGGAGACTGGCACCCTGGGGACTTACCTCCCCCAGCCTTGGTCCCCAACTGTGAGGTGGGACAGTGAGGACCAGGAGGCCCTGCCCACTGGCTATCGGGAGTTTGGAGGGGAGATGGAGATCAAAGTCACAGTATAATCTGTCCTCTGCCCAGTGTCTGCCCAGGCTGGAGGCTCATTCCCTGGGAGCGCAGTCTGGGCCTTGCCGCTTGCACAACCTTCTCTCGTGTCCCCTCCTCCAGGGCATGGGTCACAGCCTCCCAAGCCAGGGTAACTGGCTATTTCCTCCGCCTCCCTTGAAATAACAGGGCCATGGGCGACTGAACAACTCATGGCTCCAACAGGTTTCCACGTCCTCCAAGGAGGCAGCTGTGCTCTGCAGCGTCCTCCACCCTGGCATTGTGGACGTGGGGAGGTGGGGGTGCCAGGCAGGAGCATGGCCAGTGCCTGATCAGCACCTTTGTGCCCCTGCCAGCTCCAGAAAGTCCAGGTCCTGGGACCGAAGCCAGTCTCCTTGGAGTCTGTGACGGTGTCAGGCACCCGGGCTCCGGGGCAGGAGGCTTCTTCCGAGACCCTGGGGTCAGGGTCCTGGTTCCAGATCTGGGCCAGCATGTCCCTCTTCTGGACCTCAGTCTCCTTTTTGGAAAATTAGCACCATGGTCTCTGCTTTGACTTCTCAAGGCTGAGATGAGGAGCTGACCATAAAAGTAACATCAGCCCCTATTTGTGGAGGGCTCGCTATGTGCCAAGCACTGTTCTGAGCACCTCGAGCCTCAGTTTCCTTTTTGGAAAATTAGCACCATGGTCTCTGCTTTGACTTCTCAAGGCTGAGATGAGGAGCTGACCATAAAAATAACATCAGCCCCTATTTGTGGAGGGCTCGCTATGTGCCAAGCACTGTTCTGAGCACCTCGACATACATGTTTTCCCATTTAGTCCTCAAAACAAGCCACAAGTTTCTGTCACAGGGTCTCTCAGTCTCAGCATGACTGACATTTGGAGCATGTATTCTGTTTTGTGGGAGGCTGTCCTGTGCTTTACGGGGTGTTTAGCAGCCTCCCTTGCCCCTGCCAGCAACACCCCAGTCATGACAATCAAAAATTTGTCCAGACATGGCTGGATGTCTGCGGGGGGCAACACCTCCTGTTGAGACCCTGGGTCTGTAAGCTGCACTGGCAGCAGTAACAGCTGGGCGTGGGGGGCCCTCCCAGAGCTCATGATGTGAGAGGTGTCACCCTGTATGTGGATGTTACCCTGAATCGAGCTCAGAGAGGCTGGATGGACCACGCAAGGCCACCTGGCTAATGAACCCGAAAAGTGCACAACTACGTGCCAGTTAACCGTTGTGCCCACGAGGAGAGGGTGGGGGTAGACAGCCTGGTTTGGGTGGCCCTCCCCCAGTTCTAGTTCCTACGTTTTCCACTGGAGGTTTAGTAGGGAAGGTGCTTAGAAACATTGCAGGGAGCGAGATCCTGGCCTGCAGAGGGGCTGGATGTCCTGGGGGACAAATCTGGGCCCTGTTAGCAAATAAACAACGTGGTGGTGTCGGGAGGAGGCCGCCAGAGGGAAAGTGAGATGCCGGCAGCTATGCGAGAGGAGCTGGCGGCTCCGGCTGCCTCTTCTCCAGAGGCTGCACTGGCGGCAGGAAGCCGGGGCGTCTCTGTCTAGCCTGCTTCCTGCCTCGTCGGTGCAGAGCTGCCTGTGGGGACCAGAGAGGGTGGGTGCTCCGAGAGAGCAGCACAGCTTGATCCTAGGCCACAGCAGCATCCAGACAGCCCCGACTGCAGTTCGGGTGTCCATGGGGTCCATGCAGCATCCAGCTCTGTTTGGGGCTCGGCTCTGATACGTGGAGGGGGCAGGAGCAGTGGGTTTCTCCCACAGCGCTGAGGCTTGGCGTAGGCTCAGCCTGTGTGTGGCTTGGCTCTTTGTGGGGGAGAAGACCAGGTGGGAGCACATCCCCTCCCGCCTGAGGCCCAGCCCCTGGCCCCCCACCAGCAGGGGTGCTCCAACAAGGCTGCTGGGACAGGCAGCTGCAGCGGCCTCCCCTGACCTGGGGGCCGGCCTTTCCTGGCTCTGGCTGCCTCCCTGAGCCTGGCTGGTGGCTGCTCACCTGTGGGTGAGGAGAGAGGCCAGGCCTCCAGGATGAATCTCTCTCCAGGGGAACAGGCCAAGCCAAGCACAAGGTGGGGTGTCCCCAGCAGCATGGGTGGAGCCCAGGACGTCCATGCAAGCTGCTTCTCCTCACTGTCGCCTCCAGGACTGGCTTACTGGTTTTGTGCAAAAGTGTTTTATTGCTTTATAAAATAATGCTCATTATTCTGTTTCTAACCATAACTCTGTGGCATGGGGTTCAGAGCACAGAGCGTGGTGCAGACCTCACGTCCAGTAAGACCACTTTGGGCATAGCCCTTGACCTCCCTGAGCCTTCCTTCCCTGAACCCTACTAGAGCAGGATTGTAGGTCCCCGAGCAGATTCCGTGAGATGCCGGCATAAAGCTTGCCTGGCTGCACACGTGATGGCCAGCGGTATTTCACCGTGGGATGTTGGGAACATCTGTAGAAGATGAACAGTTCGGGAAACCCCTCTACTTCCACCCCCAGAGGTCACGGCAGTTTGAAGTTCAGTGATTTCCTTTGATCTTTCCGTTACTGTGTGTCTGCCCGTCCATCCGGTGCATGCGGTCTGGGCACATGGCTTCGTTCGTACAGCACTGAGCTCCTTTTGAAGTTCCTTATCCTCTCAAGGACTCACCTCTCAGCTGCTATGTAAGCGGTGCCCTGTGCTTGGACACATGCATTGGAACGAGCCCTGGGAGGATCTTGCCTTGGATGTTATACTTTCGTGACTGCCTGATTGTTGACCGAAGGCAGACATCTAATCTGGACCCACTGAGTCAGAGATGTGTAAGGCAATTGCCTGGCCTTTTGGCTCATTCTGTAGTGTGTCTGGTCTGTTCTCTGGTATTTTCTGTGCCCGCTCCTCATGCCCAGTGCTGTCCTAGGGCGCTGCTGGGGATAGGAGGGAGATATGGAGCTTTCCGAGCCAGGGTGGCTGCCGCGCGAGGTTTGGAGGCGTGAGGAGGTTGAAAACACAGAGCCAGGCAGCACGTGAACATCGGCTGGTGAGAGGAGCAAGTCAGAGGTCACATTCGGACATGAGGAGGCTTCCGGGCTCTGTTTTAGCCATCCTGTCACAACGGGGCTGTTGGGAGGGTCTGTGTAACAGAGGCCAGGCCACTCGGAAAAGGGACCGGTCAGAGGTGTCACTGGTGACCTGTTTCCTGGCACTGAAGGGCACATTGGACTGTGCTGGACTCTCAGCTGAGTTCCAGCATTTTACTTTGAACTTATGGATCCATTCCCAATGCTGAGCTGCTCCCCCACCCTTCTCTCCACTGTCCCCTCACCTGGCTCTAGAATTAATTCCGGATGCATTGGTCAGGGGCCCGCTTGGTGTGGGGCTCTGGGACTCCAGGATGAGAGACGTGGCCCTGGGTGAGTTCACGCCATGGCTGAGGTCGGTCCCAGGAAGGAGCCCACAGCTGCAGCCCAGGTGGCAGGAGGGGCCCTGGGTGGCAGGAGTGTCATCCACTGGGCAAGGAGTTGACATGGACATGAAAGTCCCTCGAGACGGACGGTCACAAGAGGGAGAACTGGATCTTGACAAGAGAAAGGCGAGGTGGCAGGGAGACCTCTCGTGTCTCAGGCCTCTCGCTGGGAGCTAAGCGTGGCCCGTGTTACGAGGAGGCCTCGTCCCTGCGTCATGCAGCATCCCATGCTTCTCCTGCGGGGTCCCACTGGACATCTCCTGCCCCCTTGGCAGGTCAGGAGGAGCAGTGTCTTGGGTGGTGAGGGAGATGCTGTCCCCAGTCTGAGAGCTAAGCATGGCCCGTGTTATGAGGAGGCCTCGTCCCTGCGTCATGCAGCATCCCACGCTTCTCCTGCGGGGTCCCACTGGACATCTGCCCCCTTGGCAGGTCAGGAGGAGCAGTGTCTTGGGTGGTGAGGGAGATGCTGTCCCCA